AGGTAGGTAGGTAGGTAAGATATCATCACCTCAGGGAGGGGGGCGATGATAACTTCCTCAATGGCTCAAGGGGGCGTTTCTTTCAAAAAGGTTAAGAACCACTGCCCTACACCACCATCCGCCATCCGCCGTGGCTCGGTTGCAGCCGGGCCAGAGAAGGGGGCAGGAAAGGGGTGATCGGGCAGCCAGGGACCCCCCTCTGGGCAGAAGAGGAGGAAGAGGAGGAGGGAAGGGGGTTAGGGTTGTGTCCTCATTACCCCCAGTATTTTCATTTTTACCCCATTTGGGGTAATTTACCTCTGTTCCCTGATCACCATCTTGACTGCTGCCATTGGTGTTGACAACATTCAGGCTGCCCTTTGCTATATAAAGTTTGGCATCCTTTTTCCTGCTGGCAGTAATTCCATTCTACTTTATCAATGGCTTTGAAGGTATCTAATAAGGGTGAAGACATTAGTTGTTTTGTATGTGGATAACATTAAGAATCCTTCTAATTGTATCAGCCATTTACAAGTCAAGTATGAAGCCTTACTGATTTGGTCCTAAAGGTTATATAAATTATGGATCCTATTTGGATCCTATTTAATAGTCTAGTCAGGAAAAACTTTAAATTTACAAGAGCTGTAGGTCTGTATGCTGGTAAACAAAGGTCACTGCCAGGAGTTTTAGGATTCTGGAGGTTGCACAGCTTTGTGGGAACATTCCTCCACCCATTATATCATAATGAAGTGTTAATACATGGGCAATTAACCATCATTCCAGATACTTTTCTGGTTTGGCATTTAATTGTGCTCTTAATTTATTTGACTGTAATTGGACTGCCTAAAGAATGTGTGTATGTGTGTGTACTGGAAAGGCACTGGATGCCTAACAAATTAATGTAGTGTTTATGTTGTGTTTTCTATCTAATTCTGGTTTGTACACATCCACATGAAAGATTTGTTTTTTCAATGATATGGACTAAAGCAAGCCATCTCCATTCAAGCTTTGAGATTCATGACTTTTTAAGGATGGTGGGACCAATTCCTATGACTTTTACACTACTAGGAAATTACCACTGTAATCACATTTCAAAAAAGATAGGCTTTATTTGTCAGTCTGTATAACATAATACAAAATTGTGTAGAGCTATTCCAAACACCATAGTAAACCTACCCTACAGAAAAGTATTTCTGCTGCTTACCTTCCCAGACTCCATGGTTTTCTTTTTCCGTATTTGCACGAGCAAAGAAGATTACATAGTTTTCAGTATTTCAAGACACAGAATGCCAAAATTTAGATCAAACTATGATTTTTGGTGGATAATGCCTTTAAAAACTACCGAATAATGCCAAGTAGAGTATACTTCTATTTCTGTACCAGTTTTTCTTGAGTACTGAGGAAGATTTTTAAAACAATTCCCGCCACCATGTGTGGCTGTTTTCACTTCTTCTTCTTGGAACATGGTTACCCTAGTTCTGTGGATCTTGCACTACTACTGGAACACTGAACCCTGACATTTGTAGTAGAGCTTGGAAATTAAAGGCAGGAAGAAACATCTGTAGAAATGCTGAGCACACAGGATTTTTAAAAAAACACATTCTACTGTGATAAGCTCCTAAATTAAGGGCTTTAAGATTTATGGATAACATAGAGATTAAACTGGCCATCGTAAACTGATGAGAACATAACTATTAACACACAAGGGAAGGAATGCTCTGTTCTGGTAAGGAGCAGAAAACCATCTAAAAGTGGACAGTTAAATTGTATAGAACAACTCTACACTGAGAGACAGATTAGTTGCCAATTTTTATGTTTTATATTAAAATCGAACTATAAATTGTCTCACTAGAACATACAGAAAAGGTCTTTGGAACTTGGGGAATGACACTTGTAAAAAAAACTATTCAAATTGAAGATGAAAAAATCTTATTTCTTTTCTGTTTAATATTTTCTTTTTAATATACTGTATAAACATCCCTTCCATTAACACCAATTCAGATATTTTTTTAAAAATCTGACTAATTGCCATTGTTTACATTGATTAAAAATGATCATTCTAGCCTATCTCCAGGGGAAATAACATTATCTAAATATTTTTTCTTCTTTTAAAAATTTTGTTCCTAAATCAGACAAAATGGGAGAAGGAGGTTTTGGCAAAAATACAAGGGACACAAAATATTTCTGCACTGTTATGCTAAAGCACTAGAAAACATAGCTACATTACTTTAAAATAGCAATACCAGTTAATGAAAAGTGGGGTATATGTGCCAGGTTATGAGCAATGCAAAAGACCAGCTTAAGCATATTTTCCTATATCAGTTTTAAAAAGAAAAGGTGCCTTTTTAACAGGTAAGCATGAAGACTGATCAGTTGATTACAGGTGAAAATAAAAATAAAAAGTTACTATTCCTCTTACATTTAATAGTACTACTTGCTGTATCACTTGAACCTTTTCTGGTATTTTAAGATGTGCAGCATACATTGCATTTCTCCTTCTAGTACTCATTTAATCCATTTTGACAAAAATAAACCTTTTTACTTACATGTATGAAATACCGATATGTTGCGAACTTGGCTTTAGCAAATAGTGTAGTCACCGCTGCTAACTGTGAGCCTCCACTCTGCTCATGATTCCCCAAGAACCACTGCCAAGTCCTACTTCATGACAACAGCCTCATAATCATATTCATCCAAGGATTTCCTTGCACTCAAATCAATTCCTGTATTATTTCCATTACCAGCAATGGAGAAAACATCTTTGTCTTGGCTTTCCCAAACTGATCCAGCACTGTAGTTAGTTATATTCTAACAGACTGTATCACCATATAAGTCATGGCCAAGGGGATATATAATGTCATGAGGAGGAACAATAAACACATTTGGTTCTCCCCTCTGCTCTCCACCACCCAACGCAACTAGGAATTCAGATGGCCTGGTGAAGTGATGATTTGGTAGGTTGTACCATCTTGGCTTCATGTCAACTATATAAGTTGAACTAGTGAAAAATTGGCCATTGTTTGAGAGGAACTGCTATCCAGTTGACAGAAGAACTGTTCTGCAAGCACGTACCTTTGAGCCAATACATTACAGTATAAATGTTTGGCGTTCGTTAAAAAAAAAGCCACCTTATTGCAATGGAAATTATGTCAGGATCTTCCAAGTTTGACATTGATCCATCTGCTGTGCATATGTACAAAAATCATAGTTTGATTATCTTGCAGCAAATGTTTACTGAATGGCAAAATAGGAGGAGAAGGATAACAACATCCTAGGTCTCCTTGACTGTGCCCCAGAATGCTCATCAGGTGTCATTCACTATTATCGTCTTTCTCTGAAGAAGCAGGACTATCCCGAACAGGCAGCAGATCATAATGGCAAGGGATGTGGCTGTTTTTTGGTAGATCATAAAGATCTTGGCTGAAAGGTTCATTGTTATTTGTTGTTCCTTGGATAACACTGACTGTAGGTTCTGCAATTAAAAAAAATGCATTGGTGCTCTAGTGGGAAAGAATCACAACATTTAATGGACATTAGTAAATGAGTCCTTCAATGGTCCCCTGCTCTTTTAAAACAAGGATCACCTCTTCACTCTAGATAGTTCTGATAGGATATTAAATAATCTGCTAAAGCAGAGTATAAAATGAATATAATTTAGTATATAATAATGAGAGTGCAAGATACTTATATGATTAAGCAGAGCTGCACCTTCTGTCAGTAGGATGAGAGGGGGTGCTTGATATAATGTCTCTTAATTAAGGGACTTTTGAATTATGCTTTCCGGGAAGCCTCATTTATAATCAAGAAAGTTGCTACAGAGCTCCAGTAGAGATATTTCTACTGACATTCTCCTACCCTTTAAAAATGATGGGACTCTAAAATGAGTTTCCCTCTCTTTCATGCTGGGGAAAAAAGATTATCAACATAGGCAAAGACAGCAGCATTTTGGGAAAGAGGGGATTTTCAGAGGACAAACTAAGATGGGACATCACAATTTTTTTAGGAGTTTATAGACCAGATGGGCGAGGTACAAATCAAATAAATAAAATAAAATAAATTACTTATTCTGATAGTTGCTAGCTACACTGATTTGATAACACTAACTTATCTAACCTTGCACATCTCAACTTTGTGTTTTATTTTCAATTTAGCCACTCTTTGTGAACCGTTTTTCAAACTTACACAATGTGTCCAGCAATTATCTAGGTTTGTACAATGCACACAAAGATACAGGAAAACACTAAACTGGAACTTACCAACTTCATACACATTCTTGTTGGTTGAAGCACTATTACTTATTTCTGCATATGCAGAGTCCCTGCGTGCTGGTGACTTCATTTCAACATATCCACAATCTGAATTTTTTGGAGTGAGTGCTGGTGGATCTTTAATAGTAGCATATGGATTTTCAGAGCTACTTAGAGAGCAGTTACTTATATTGCATTCAGAATTCTTCACTAGATCTGAGGAAACATATTTAAAAACCCTAAATGTTAATGGTACAGTACAAAGAGAAATATATTTTGTGGTGTGTAAGTTTAATGATGATTCTGTCAAATTTATCTTTTTTGCTACTTGCCAAGCCTCTTTCATTTTGAAATTACCCTATAAAACAATATATATAGTGAAACAAACAACACGACTGACAACTCTAATTTCTGTTGCCACTGAGGAATTTTGGGGGTTATTTCCTTTCAATAATATTGATTAGGTTGGGAGTTGTATGTGCTTATGTTTTTATCTGTGTAAGCCACCCAGAGCAGTGGCTCACTAGAGAGGTGGGGTAAAAATGTAATTAATTAATTAAATTAGTATCTTTGCATATGCTCCGGAAACTCTGAAAAAGTTTGTGAATACTAATTGACAATTTTTCCAACCCACTCTACTTTACGGCTTTCACTCTATGAAATGCTGAGGCCCCTGCTGCTTACTGTCAGAAAGATTGCAAAGTAAGCAATATGAATGCTGTAAGACCATTCATTTGACCCTGATATGTTTAAATCTGTGAGAAAATGCAAACTCACCTTTCAGAGATTTCCCTAGGCAACCTCTATCAATTCCAAAAGCCCCTGTAAATAAGAGAGAGAAGCAATATCAAAGAAAGTTGTAAGACACATGTATTGAATGCAAATCAGGAAAAGTTGCTTTTAAAAAGTAATCAATAATTGGTCTAAAATCTTTTCAACATCATAGTATTTTTTAAAAAAGAAAAACCTTTTGATATCTTGTTATCCAAAAAACAATTAAAACGTTGCTTTTATTACTTTAAAAACAGAGGTGATAACAGTGTGGTCAATGGTCCTATGCAACCCTATGGCGTAACCCCCTAGCCTCTTCATCCTGTGGTGATGCCCCTTTCTGTGGCTTCCTGTTTTGCTATTTTAAAAAATCTTGAGAATGCTGCAGTCCACTAGCCTACAGTAAAAATACACCTCAGTAATGTAGCCACACATTTTATGTTAGACTAACACTTGCACTGCAAAGGACAGACATTATCCCTTCTTATATTTACAATCATTATGCAAATTAGTTACTTATGACTTAGTTGCAATTAATTGTACATAATTCATTCTTGCACCATGTTACATTTTGGTTACATTAGTCACCATTATCATCATCATATCTTGGAACCATTTTTTTTTACATTTATTCATAATTTAGGGCATTCCTGATAAGTGTGTTTTTAATACCGTGACTTCCATAGCTGCAACCAGCAATTTTGGTGCTGAGGACTTTGTTGCCCTACTGTTAAGCTCAGGTCACGTGACATTGGCATACATAGGGGGAAAGGCGGAAAGAAGAGGCAGGAATGCTGATCGAAGTGCACAATACCCATATTGGGTCCATGCTGATCCCACTTGCTTTGTGTTTCCTTCTGCCTGAGGAGAAGAGATTGGAGTGTTATGTGCTCAGCACAGGTAGGTTCACACCATTCCAGCAGCAAATATTATTGGGTGGGTTCACTCAGCCCTGGCAACAAAATTCTGCACTTTCTAAAGTCAAAATCCTGGCATTCCGTGTCTAGTCATGCTGGCCACGTGACCATGGAAATTGTCTGTGGACAAAACGCTGGCTTTACAGCTTGGAAACGGGGATGAGCACCACCACTTAGAGTCCGACACGACTGGACTAAATGTCAAGGGGAACCTTTAAGTCAAAATCGGGGGAACCTTTACCTTTACCTTTAAGTCAAAATCCTATCTGCTACATCCTAGTAATGGGCTCTGGAGACTTCCTGTTCATTGTGACTCCCACTGAATTGGATGCAGCTGCACAAATGAAGAATCTGCATTCTGTAAATCATGGTCAAGTTCTCAAAACTTGTCCTGCTGGATGGAAACATCACTGTGTTTTCCTTCTAAAAAAGGGGTGGGGCAAACCCATGCTTTAAACTGATTTTCTTTCTATACCAAGTTCATTAAGGTAACCTCCGTGCTTCCAGTCAGCAGGCAACGTTCCTGTGTAATCCATGACAGGGCCTCGCTTCCCAGGTTCCACATTCTTGAGATTCACAAACAGTTGGTTGTTAGTTGTCTGTTTCAAAATAAAAGTGCAATGTCACATAATAAAGCCAGTAACTTAGTAATATTTGTCACAAAGAGTAATATTATAGCACAAATAGGAAGTGTGATAATTTACACAAGTAACATATTAAATCCAAAATGAATGAAAAACAAACAAATTATAAATATAACTAATGAATGAATAAATAAATGATTTTTTTACCTTTGCCAGTGTCATCCTGTCAATGTTGTTAATGTTTGCTGGGTTTCCGCCCTGTGTCAGGGTGTGGTAGCTGGGATTGGAGAAGTAGTGACTATTTGCATTTCCACCATTACTGTGAGGAATGGTTTCTGTGGGGGAACCAAATGAAAAGCAGATACTGTATCATTTCCCACCCTTTTGAGTTTACATTGTTGACACCAACACCAACTCAACAGTTACCCTAAGACAAATGCAAATGTTAATATAGCTGTCTATAATAAATATCCATTTTTTCTGTTTCTAAAATGTACTTAACTAGTCCAACCTCTTCCTTTATGTGACAGATACAAGTGATCATTCTTTTTTTAAAAAAGTTGCCTACTGCATTCAGAGGTTTACTAAAATACCTCATTTTTATTTCCTTTGTTGCACCTCTACCTGTTTTACATAAAAGTTGGGGAACCTGTGCTTCTCTGTATGTTATGAGACTACAATTCCCATCATTCCTGACCACTGGATATGTGAACTGGGGCTAATTTTATTTATTTTATTAGATTTATATCCTGCCCATCTAGACCAAAAGTCTACTCTGGGTGGCAGAGGTGGAGTCCAAAAAATCTGGAGAGCCAGTTTCCCTACTTGCACTTTACACATCTCCTTTTTAAAATTCATCTGTTTTAGTATTACCAATAGTTTCTCGGTAATTATTGATTAGATATTTCATCAACATCTTGAACTTAGGAGAAGTGAAACCAAACACGTTGTTTTCTGTCCCCAATTTTTTCTGTGGTCCAGACCGCGGATATAATATTCTCCCTATAGTTTGCTTGAAGGTTAGCAAACTGGTTGCCAGCATTAGGAATGTTCACATACTTCCTGTAGTTTCTCCCTCTCTCTGTAGCATGTTTCTCCTCCTCCTTTAACACGAGTTTATAGAGAAGAATGTTAACTGTAGTTGTTAATGGCTAACCTGGTTTCCCCTTAAGCCAGATTTTGAAACAGCAATCTGAAGTAATGCTCGGTAGCTGGCATCATGATAACAGGTGGTGATTAACAGGTAGTAGGTGCTGCATATAAAGACATTTCTGCTATAAAAATGCTGGACTGATGGACCACCTCCAAATTTTCAACCTTCTTGGCTGTACTGGACACTCTGGCCAGATAGTAATGGAGGATATGCCCCTGATAAAGCTAGCAGAGCATAACTTGTTTGGAAAGTCAGATGAAACAAACCTTGTCCTTGATGAAGCCATGTTTTACAGAGAACGGATTAAAGTTACCACCACTCCCTTCCTACCTGAAATAGTGTAGTCTCCATTTATGACCCTCGCGGCAGGTGTATAGCTAACTGCTGGCATATTTGTTTCCTTCCCCTTCTGTTTTTGCCGGTAAATGATGAATAGCACTAGCAGAAAGAGGACAACGAGGACAAGAACAATGATGCCAGCTATGGCCCCAATCTGGTAAGAATCAGCAGGGATGGCAGCGCTCGTACGGCTTAAGCTGTTCAAATTTCCCACTATGATTACCCCAGCTGGAAAACAAGAGAAATGAAAATACAGCCCATGAATGTACAGAAGAAGTAATCACACATATAAACTACAGTTTGAACTGTGGATTCAGTATTCGGTTGTAGATATTGATTTATGTTTAAACTCATTTGATGAAATTCTAGAAGATCAGATAGCTGATAGATTGGAATTCTAGAAATCCATGCTTTAAACATAAATTCTACCAGTGCAGCATGCTTTGTATGATTTTGTTTACATTTTGTGTTTCTTAAAACTACATATTTACATTAAGTTGTTTCAAGCTGATTGATCTGTGGTTGTTTTAACAATTTGTAAATTTTAATTTACAATCTGAAGTTACAAGTCTTTTAGTTGGTGAGTTTTCCTGAAGTGCTTTGGAATTTTTCACTCATCTCTTCAGTGGCTGAAATCTTGTTGCTTAGTGCAGTAAGCTGCCATTAGACTATGCCCATGGAATCAATGGAACTTCCAAAGGAGTTGACTCACCATCATCAGCACATAATTCAATGGGCCTGCTTTAGTTGTGATTTACTATGCTAAGCTACAGGATTTCGGCCACAGAGAGAGAAAATACTTTTTTTGCAATCATGAGGACCAGCAACTTGTATTTTAAATAAATCAAAACATATGGTCCTGAATATTCAGGTTTCTAGATACCTGAAATATTATATTCTGGTATTATTATCTCACTGACACAGTTTTTCAGAATACCTTTATTATAATTAGTAATCACATGCCATCAAGTCAATTCTTGATTTATTAATAGAGATGGGCACAGACCTCAATTTGGAGGTTTGTGCTGGTTCGTACACACATTCCCTTTCCCAGCTGGATTTCCACACTTAGCAGCTCCTCTCTTTCTTGTTTTTGGCTGTTCGACCAGTCGTGGATTTCCACACTTAGCAGCTCCTCTCTTCCTCGTTTTTGGCTGTTCAACCAGTCTCTGGCAGGAGCACGGGCTTCCCTGCCCCACCTCCTTGGCTGAATGCCCAATCAGACAAGGAGGCAGGACAGACAAACCCTTGCTTCTGCTAGGGACCAGTCGAACAGCTGAAGAGGAGAAGAGGAGCAGACTCCAACTGGTGAGTGGGTCATTGGCTGGGGAGGAAGGGGAAGGAAATGTGTGGCACCTATGATTCATGCCTGTCTCTAATTATAAATGATGCATTCTGATTTATGGCAATCTTCATAGGGTTTTCCAAAGTATAACAATAGTTAAAAGTGATAATTCTTCTAAGTGCTCTGAGCCATGAAGGTTGCCCAAGGCTGCACAGGTGGCAGGGCATGTAATACTATCAGCTACACATGATAGCATGTAATGCCATCAGCTACTATATTAGCTGACCCCTCTCCTGGAAATCCTGGCTTGGTTTTGCAACCATGTGTTCCAGCCACTGAGATATAACAGTTAATAATACCACACAGGTGCTATGACAGTGGTGCCTCGACTTATGAACGTCCCTACTTACAAACATTTTGACTTACGAACAGCTCCGTTTGCAGAATTTTACTTCGACTTGCAAACGGAGCTTCAAGTTACAAACGAAGAGGCTGCTTATCTGCTACCTTGCTCGTCCCAGCAGTTAGAGAGTGGATACGAGAGAGACTTCAGACTGCCTCATACTGCCTGATACTGTACTGTATGTACTATATTTTTTGCGAGTGGATACGAGAGAGACTTCAGACTGCCTAATAGTGCCTGATACTGTACTGTATGTACTGTATTTTGGGGGCTTTTTTATTTTTTTATTTTTGGATTTGTGACTTTTGTTTTTAAAACAAGAGGCTGCCTGTTCTGGGTGAGCACACTGTATTTACTGTACAGGTTTTTTTGCAGCTGGGGGCTAGGACTAGGTGGGGGTTTATGTTTCTGTGCTTTGATGGGTCTTGCAGTGTGGATTTAAAATGTGAAAAGTAGACTAATATTAAATTTAAATTAAATGTGAAAATTAGGCTGTACAGGAAAATTAGACTGTACGCTTGGGGGGGTAGGGCTAGGTGGGGGTTTTATGTTTCTGTGTTTTGATGAGTCTTTAAATTAAATGTGAAAATTAGGGTGTACAGGAAAATCAGACTGTACATGTAAATTTTATTTACTTATTTTTGCATTCTGTGGCTTCTAGGGTTTGCGTACTGTGACCTCTCTTTTGTTTTAAAATGTGTGGGTTTAAAATGTGCATTCCTATGGGAAATGCTGATTTTTTTTCCATTTTTTTATTTTTTACTTTATATACACATATCCGTACATAGACATATATATACACACATATGCCTAAATCTCTGTTTACAAACGATACATACTGTAGAGCTTAGCCTACAAGCCTTTTGTATAATAACACATTTCTTTCAGCAGTGTCTTCTCCTCATTATTCCTTTTGGTCATTTTCTATTTATTACAAAGTTTTTGCTTTGGGAAATGCTGATTTGACTTAAGAACGTTTTAACTTAAGAACACCATTCCGATACGGATGAAGTTCGTAACTTGAGGCACCACTTTATTTCTTTCCACATCTGCTTTTGAAACATGAAATACATTGAAAACTGAAAAAAAAGAAAGTTATACTAGAGAAGATCCAACAAAATGTAAAGTGTCAGATGGGAACAAGAAATTTAGGAGGCATGTCTCTTTTCTTAAATTATGGCCCTGGAAGCCAAGCTGCCATTTAGTCAAGATGCTAGTTTGTATGTACACAACAGCATAGGGTATGTTTTAAGAGCAGGCAAGGAGACAGGTTGCAATCCTAATGGAGGAAGCGCCATTAAAATGAAAGCTACTTTTGATTAAACATGCATGTCATTCTATTGTTAAGCCTCAATTCTGAAAATACATAGGAGGAAACACAGTGTAAATTATTTTTGAGTAAATATACAGAGAACATGCTTGTATTACCACCCAACTAATTAGAAGCAACAAAGCTGTTGTATGAAAATTTCTGCTTTCTTAGTTTGTCTCACAGGGTTAAGACAGCTAAATTAGGTATAGCCATTTGGGATGCTTGCTATGGCATTGCCAACATATCCATGATTTCATAAGTATATTACTGTATATGAAACAAAGCATTACCTTGGTCACATCTTGCCCCTTTCCAGCCAGGGCTGCAATAACAGGTTCCAGTGATGTGGTCACATGTTGAGTTGTTCAGACAGTCACATATTTGCCGGCAACCATACCCATATGTACCTGGAGGGCACTCTGTACAAATGACAAACATCAACTGCTGATTTTGCCTTTTAACATATTGAAGTTTGTGTGCAAGTTCATAAGACATTCACGCTGACAGTGAATGTAATCTAGTGAAGCAGCGGTGTGTGTAGCAGGCACTGTCAAACTGTCAGTGATAGAAAATGAAGACACAGCACTCCATATGCTTCTGGAGCTTTGCTGCTCCACTCCTAACAACAGGAGTCCCAAGTGCTCCGCAGTCTTCTGAATCAAAACCAATAAAAAAAAGACATTTCATGGCTGGTGTTTCAGAATGGAGCATAAGCAAGGACTTTAACTGTTGATCTACTTGCAGTTAATGTGGATCTTTTAAAAGCCTGAAGGAAAGGGACGTTATCGAAAATGCTGCAATTTGCCATTGTCAAATCTTCCACCTTTTAGTGTAATTGTGGAAGATTTAATGTGGATCCACTAGGTGGCAATGTTTAATCACGTCCATTCAATATGAAAACCACCACAAGTTGGTGTAATTAATGTATGTTCTTGAGTGCAGATTGGGAATCATGTAAGTATAAAACCTTGTAAAATTATCATTCATGCAGCAACAGGAAAAGTTGACAACGTTCTTCTTGGAAAGCTAAAAAGATTTCTAATACAGGAAACTACAAAGAGGTTAGACAGTCAACTCACAGAGCAAAAACAATTTCTCTTGCAGTGTCACATATTTTACACAGAATTACATCTCGGCAAATATGTTTTATTCAGATTGATGGTCAGTCAACATTTTGGGAGAGGTCACAATGTCAGACATCTATTTTCAGAATAGAAGTAAATATATGATTGGACAATGATAAAATCTTGTTCTGGATTGTGCTGGATTGCTTCACTGGATATAACCTCTCTTAAAATGACCTTTCTGAGCACTTGTGATCCAGTCCCAATTGCTCCAGCCCAACTTAAAAAAGAAAAAAAAAAGAGTAGACCTGCCACTGGACGAAAAAGGTACAGACTGGATACAGAGCCATTGTCTCATCACCAGAAAAACCACATTATGGCACAAGCAGTCCAAAACTTGAGCTATATCATTGTCTGATTACACCCTAAGTTTTTGAAAACTTGCTAAATTTCACTGGTGGTCTACTCAATTCTAGAACTGAAAAATGTTAAACCCAATCTACTAAGATATCACAGCAACTAAGTTCCATTTTTAAAGCATTTTGGGAGGGATCAATACATGAAGCTTCCAGCTGAATTCCACAATGATTTGTGGAAATTTGTTTCCTTGTGACTGCATTTAAGAATTTTTTCAGGCCCATAGGCCCATAGATTTCAGTGTATCTGATAGAGTTTGATGGGGAACAAAAAGGCAAGCCAACTGCCTTGGCTCCAGCACTGTTGATCAGGACAGATGAGAGGGCGAGTTCTTGTTGCTCCTTGTATATTTGACTCCCGCAACAGGGATTGTGACTATCTGAGGGGGTGGAGTTACTCTGGATCCAAAGCTGGTGTCAACCCACTCCCCTCGTCTCCACTGAATACTGTCTGGGGCCTCTTGCTTGCTCCTGCCAAGTGGGAGAGCCATTGGCAACAGCTTTGCATGCAGCAAGGGCCTCCACTGTGGCACATCAGCTTCTCCACATGTGATGCTAATCTCAATCGATGATGAGGCACCAACGTATTATTATTACTTCCAGACATCAATGGTGTGTGAGTGGGTGTGAACCAAACTCTTAAGCACTTTTACTATGGATTAGATGCCACTCACCCCTTCACGGATTGCTGCCTTGTCATGGCGAAGGGGCTAATTCAGAGATGTTATGGGCTATGCCGTGCAGGGATACCCAAGACGGACAGGTCATAGTACAGAGTTCTGACTAAATACCATCCACCTGAAGCAGGAACTGGCAAGCCACTCCAATATCTTTGCCAAGAAAACCCCATGGACAGAAACAAAAGTTAAAAGATATGATGCTGGAATGTGAGTCCCTCAGGTTGGAAGGCATCCAACATGCTACTGAGGAAGAGCAGAGGACAAGTACAAGTAACTCCAGAGCCACTGAATAGGTTGGTCCAAAGCGGAAAGGATGTTCAGCTGCGGACACGCCTGGAAGTGAAAGGAAAGTCTGATGCTGCAAAGAAAAACACTGCTTAGGAACCTGGAATGTAAGATCTATGAACCTTGGGAAGCTGGAGGTGGTCAAACAGGAGATGGCAAGAATAAACATTGACATCCTGGGCGTCAGTGAACTAAAATGGACAGGAATGGGCGAATTCAATTCAGATGATTATCATATCTACTATTGTGGGCAAGAATTCCATAGAAGAAACGAAGTAGCCCACATAGTCAACAAAAGAGTGGGAAAAGCTGTACTGGGATACAATCTCAAAAACGATAGAATGATTTCAATATGAATCCAAGGCAGACCTTTCAACATCACA